ACGGGCTTTATACCGATTCACAGATCCATCCGCATTGTGCTTTACCGTAAACACCCAACGACAACCTACAATCCTCTTGCCTTGTGGCGAGGAAACAAGTTGCCAAGTATTATTTTTCTGCAATGCCTCCATCTCTTCCTCCATTGCCCTTCTCCACTTAGGATCATCTAAGGCATCCTGCACTTTGTTAGGAACTGATACAGCAGATATTTGATTCACAAATGATTCATATGACTTAGATAATCTACTAGTGGAAATGTAATTTGCAACTGGATACTTTGATTTGGCATGAAGGGAAGGTTCATATCTTTTGGCTGGCTGACCACGGGTTGACCGATTAGGTAACACACTAGACTCATTACTAGTAGTACTAGTGGGGGAACATACCTCGAATGAGTGATCTTCAGCACCAGGAGGAAGTTGTGGATCGGGGGTATGAGCAGTAGTAGAGGGGGCAGTCATGAGTTCTTGTGTCTGAACTGGTGTTTGAATCGGGGCAGTCATGAGTTCTTGTGTCTGAACTGGTGTTTGAATCGGGGCAGTCATGAGTTCTTGTGTCTGAACTGGTGTTTGCATCTGAATGTCAACTGGAACAGCCTGTATAACATCTTCTACCTGTGGATTTTCTTCTACCTGTGGATTTTCCTCCTCACTATGAGATAGCTCTTCAAAATACGAATTCTCCCCCTGAAGAGCAGAGTCAGATGAGGAGAAATAACTCATGTCTTCAAAGAAAGTAACATCCATAGTGACATAATACTTGCGAGTAGGTGGATGATAACACTTGTACCCCTTCTGAGATCCTCCATAACCAACAAACACACACTTAATCGCTCGGGCATCTAACTTTGACCTTTGATTTTTAGGAATATGAACAAAGACAACACAACCAAAGACACGAGCTGGAAGGTTATGAAATGACGGTAACGACACATGAGATGCAAGTGCCTCGAGTGGAATCTTTCCCTGAAGTACACTAGAAGGAAGGCGATTAATAAGATAGGAGGAAGCTTGTACAGCATCGCCCCAAAGGTATTTAGGCATATGAGCACAAAAGAGAAGGGCACGAGTCATATCAAGCAAGTGACGATTTTTTCTTTCAGAAACTCCATTTTGTTCTGGTGTTTGAGGACACGTGGTTTGATGAATAATACCATGCGTTTGAAGAAATTCGCGGAAGGCATTATTGACAAATTCCCCCCCATTATCAGACCGAAGAATTTTAATGGTACTGTTATATTGTGTATGAATAAGATTGCGAAAAGCTTGAAAGGCTGAAAAGACTTCATCTTTGGTTTTAAGTAGAACTACCCATGACAGTCTTGTACAATCATCAATGAATAACACAAAATATCGCATACCTGAAACGGTAGACTCTCTAGAGGGCCCCCAAACATCAGAATGAATCAAAGCAAAAGGAATAACACTTTTATTAGAAAGACTGGAAGAATAAGTAGCACGATGACTCTTAGCCAAAACACAAGTTTCACAACATAAAACAGATTCATCAACACCAATAAATAGAGTAGGCATAGTTTTTTTCATAACACTGAAAGAGGGATGCCCTAAACGGCGATGCCACAACCAAACTTCACTTAATTTATCAGAATTCGAGATCAAAGCGGCATGGGATGGTGCTCCTGGTCTCTCCCCAGCGTACATCTGATCCAGATGAAATAATCTGCCCCTCAGATACCCCCTTCCAATTACCTCCCTGGTTAGAAGATCCTGAAAAAGTACATACATGGGATAAAAGGTCACAGAGCATTTGGATTCAGTATTTAATTGGGGAACAGATAATAAGTGATGAGATAATGCAGGAACATATAGAACATGATGAAGTTCTAAAGTCGGGGTAATACGGACAGATCCTGTTCCTAACACAGGAAAAGCTTCACCATTGGCATTAGTAACATGAGACACTGGTGGGGGAGACAACTCAGTAAAATAAGATTTATCATAAGTCATATGATCGGATGCACCAGAATCAATAATCCAAGTATCAGAATTAACAAAATGAGAAACTTTTAACGTCATACCGATTTTACCTCGACCAGCTATTGATGCAGTGGGAGTAGCCCCTCCTGATGAGTGATGATCCTGTCCAGTTATGCCATAGAAATCTGATTCTGGAACCAACTGAACGGTAGCAACTTTTCCTTTATTACGATAACCCTGCTTCTGAGGTTTAAGATGCGGATTTAGCTTCCAACATGTTTCTCGAACATGCCCTAATTCATTACAGTAGGTACATTTTGGACGGTTGTAGCCTGGTGGAGGTCGTTGCTGATGAAGTGGACGTGACCCTTGTTGTTGATTATAGGGTGCTGGTAGCTTGGACTGAATACCAGATAGGTTGGACTGAATGGCCAGACTGGAAACTTCAACATGTGCACGTTGGAAATTTAATTAGATATGAACTATACTTAAGAGATTATACCTTAGTAACAAAAAGTCTAGATTAATTAATTTAAAAAGATAGGGTTAATTATAGTTTGATAGGTTATATAATAAACTTATTTAATTAGGCATAACCTATACTTAAGAGATTAAACCCCTAGTAATAAAAAGTCTAATTGTTAGGATTAACTGATTGATAGGTTATAGAGTCTAATGGAACATAGCTTATGCTTTTAGGGTTTGAGCAAATAAAAGAGATTAAATAAGAGGTCTAGTTTAGAAAACCTAGTGGAGTTCGCTTAGGCAATCTTGTTTAAGTCTATTTGTTCAAAACAAATTCATTCACAAACAAAACCTTTTTTAGGCCCTATGATCCTAAGATTCACCTAACTTATTTTTCCTTGTGGATCAAGTCAAATATTAGAGAGAGATATTTGAGAGAATGAATTGAATTCCAATGTCTTAACATAATACAAAGGACCCTTTATATAGGGCTTGAAAGAAATTTAGGAAAGAAACTAATTACCTAATTACAGGAGGAAACTTCCTCTAATCAACTACGTGATTAATACCCATAATTACAATATTATTTACTTCCTATTATAGATTACTTCCTAATATAGACTCACGCTAACAAAAACAATTATCAAATTACCATTTTATTATGTCAAATGGATGCATTTATCACCATTTTCATTGATTTAACTTGTACAATTTTTTTGAATAAAATCATTAACATGTTAATATGTATGAATTCATGGCAGGTGCAGGTTGACACCGTCCTCATCGAGAGTGATACGGTAGCAAAGGCTGTGATTGAGCTTATTCCTGTGCTCCGCGTAACAAAGATAGTCGTTGGGACTACAAAATCGAGTATGAGGTAATAAATTAATGTATACATTTATATACTGATTACTTTCCTAAAAACATAATATATATAAATACTACTTAGTAACTATACAATTAGTATCATTTATGCGATATTTCAAGTTTCACATGCATACTCGGAAATTTGATAATCCCGATTATGGAAATCTTTTGTTGGTGATAGAAATATGATAGTATCTAGTGGCTCTGTTGAAAGTACTATGGAGATATTTAGTTTCCTTGGATCTCTGTCCTTAAACTATTATTAATGTTATTTAACATGCACTAAAGGAATATGAATCAGTGCATCATTGGACTTCACGATTTGTTAAAGAGCTTTGCTACAGGGACCCAAAATATGGGACCAATAGGGGGGACAAGTGAGGTATCCCCCTCCTATTAGATAATGAGTTAGCCATTATTAATTATGGCTAACTCAATATCCAATAAGAGGGGGACACCTCACTTGTCCCCCCTATTGGTCCCATATTTTAGGTCCTTGAGGAATTTTTCTTTGTTAAATCCCTTTTATGCACATTTAATGATATGGAGCAGATCCACTTGGATACTTTTTCATCAAGATGCTTAACTAGAATTAAAATTTATTGCATTCATGTCATTCCTAGCTTATTCTCACTGCATCATTTGTCTATACGCGTTGCCAGTAAGTTTTAAGCTCTACTTCTAATTTTCATACTCAACAAGAAACATGCGTACGTACAACCAATTTATAACTTTGATCAATTCCTCTTATAAAACAAAATGGTTAAATAATTGATACTAACTAAAAGTTTTATGTCCTGCAGAAAGCTGAAGAAGGGGAATAGCAAAGCAGAACAAATATACAAGAGTGCAGCAAAATATTGTGAAGTTAAAATCATATGCGATGGAAAAGAAGTTATTATGACTGAAGGGACTATGGAGCTTTCTTCTCGTTCTAATTCTTTAAATGGCAGGATAAAGGAAAAAGAGCAAGAAAATGGGAACGAGATTTCTATATCTAGGAAGGATAAGCGACAAACGAATGAAAACAATAATGCATTGTCTTGTATATGCTTTCCAAGAAAATTAATGTGATTTTTCTTAATCTTCATTTGGTATATTTTAAGACATTGGAGGGTCGGTTTCTATGCATAGAGATATTTGTCATGCTTTTGTAGGTAAAGGTTTATTGAATTTTATTGTATGGAAATATACACCGTGTGTAAACTTTGCAACTTTGTAAACTTATCATGTGTGTAATATTTATTCATAGGGAATGTCGAATGTCAGGATATTGTAGAAATGCTATCAGCACTGTTGCATAATATCATTTTGTTGGGATTTTGACTTAACGGGTAAATACTTGACTGCTGAATGTAAATCACAGGCTTATTGTTCTTTCCTCAGTATATACAGAAGCATTATGCAAAAACCATAATTAATATCGCACAACCCCCGAACTTTAGAGAGTTTATCACATAACCTCCTTGAACTTCAAGGTATCTCATAAAATCCTTTTGAACTTTATACTGAGTCCCGTCAACTGTAATTTGCAAATAACTAAAATCTAAAATCTAAAACAAAGTTTGTTAATATTCTTAAGAGAAATTCAAGTTGCAATACTGTACGAATTATGAACGGATTTTAGAACAGTTCAGAATATTTTCATATAGCTTTTGGTTCAAGTGATTTCAATATGCACCTGATGAATCTAACATGTATTTAAAGCTTTCCGCGATCAAGTAAAAAAGGAAGAGGAAAAAAAACATCTTCAAATCAACAACATAAAATATTACAAACATTCAATTCACTGATGAATACAAATTTTAAACTGAACAGTCTCCCCCCGAAACTGAAGTACTAAAAGAAATCAAACTCCAAATAGTTTTCAGGCATCTTCTGATCACCACCAGCAGCGGCCACTGCTGCAACCTTCTCACTTGAAGACGCAACCACCGGAGTTCGTTCAATCTCCACCATTTTTGGAATCTCAGGTGGGCTTGCACACCGTATCAAAGCCCAATTAACTCCTTCAAAGAAGGCATGCTGCTTTATCTCAGTAGCTCCTCTCTTGTAAGCTAACCGATGCTGAGGCTCCTTCACCAGTAACCCTCTGATAAGATCTCTAGCTGAAAAGCTCACCATCGGCGACTCGGGAAACCTCAATGGCTGCCCAACTACATTAAACAATGTAGCTCTATTGCCTGATCCTTTAAAGGGAGTTTTCCCAAACAAAAGCTCGTACAGAAAAATACCAAAGGTCCACCAGTCTACAGCACTACCATGACCCTCACCTTTAATGATCTCGGGTGCTAAGTACTCGTGAGTGCCAACAAAGGACATGGAGCGTGCATCGGTGGGCTCTGCAATGAGCTCAGGTAACGGGCTGACTTGGTTGCCTATTTCAGCCTTGGGTTTGGTTTTGGGCTTAGGTTTGGATTGGGCTTTTTTGGATTTGGAAGAGAAAAACCCGCGAGGGGAGAAGCAAGTGGGGGTGACTATACAAGATGGAGGCTCAATGCAGGCTGGTTGTATGCAGTAGACTGGAGCTGGGTTCGAGCGGCGGAAGGAGTCAGAATCAGGGTTGGAGGATTTGATGAGGGTGGGACTCACAGTGCAACGGAGTGAGAGGTCAAAATCAGAGAGCATGATGTGTCCATCTTCACGCACGAGAACATTCTCTGGCTTGAGATCTCGGTATACGATACCAAGCATGTGTAGATATTCAAGTGCAAGAAGGACCTCGGCCACGTAGAACCTGAAATATGTTTGAATCAAAGATATCACAAAGGGAAAAAAGAACAAGCTATAGAAGAAACTGCAGATAATAATGAGAAGGCTAGATGAAGATAACATGCTATTGACTTTTTTTCAAGGACTGCTCATAGAAATGGACTAGGACAAAAATGCATCATAAAGATAGTAACTAAAATGCCGTTAGGGTAGTATGAGAGGGACATGAATGATGATTACAACCATAGCAGAAGAGAATATATGTACTTAGACAAATTCGTATAAAATGTCAAGCATTGTCCTTAAATAGTTGGCTTGCTAGTATCATTTGACAAACATTAACATTTCAGGCTTTCAGCAATTTAGAAAATTTTATAAATCATTTGTTCTAGTGTTTACATTTTTTATTTTTCAGTAAACAGAATGCATCCCATTTCTTATATCATAATAAACCTTAAGACAATGTCTTATCTGATGCATTTTCATACGTATTATAGCTTTCAAAATGAAAAATAGAAGGAAAAGGTTATATCCCAGCACTGTTACATAATAGAAATGTTCAACTACTACGCATTCATTTAACAGGTCTCTAGCGTACACATCATTAAGAAATCAACAAATTTGGTTAAGATCATTCAAAAAACATTTCATGATTTTGACCATTTATAGAACCTGACATTATTCCGCTCAATAATTTCACAATTTTGATTTTCATTTCTACTTTAGCTATTGATCTTAGGCACTTATCTATGTCAATTGTTCATGGCTTCATTAAATTTCTCATTTTTGCTTGACAAGCAAATTTAAGTCATCCAGCAAGAAAAAATGATAGAATTATAGAATTTCACATTCAACTATGCTGGAGGCTTCAACCCCTTTATCTCGTCTTCTGTAGGAACATGCTACCCTCTCATTTGTAAATATTAAGTGATTTATGAGAGACGGTATAATCCAATGATTAACAATTGATATTAGGTCTTAATAGGTTCGTTACTATCAAAGGACTCTGCCATTATACTAAAACTCTAAAGTGGTAATGAGACTTGAAGGTTATAATCTTATATTCTAACATAACCCGCAGGTTGAGGGCCCTTTCTATGGAGCGAAAACTGGAGTCACGCAGGAGTATCTGTTTCTTGAAAATCCGCTATAAATTCACCACTGGGCTTTGAATCCCATTTGCTCCAGTGCCAAGTAAAAGAACCAAGTCATTACACTAAAACTCTAAAGTTGTGGTCATGAGTTAAAAGAGTTATAATTTTATAGTCTAACAATTGCATTGAAATAATCATTTTAATATTAAGTACCAGTGACAAGTGGCATACACTTACCCAATGAAGCAATCCAATTCATCTGTTTCTCTTCTAGGCTCGGTTTTAACCATCCAATGAAACTGGTATTTTCTTAATTAACAGATAATATCTCAATGAAGAGAGCCAAACATGGGTTATCATCATAATCCAAAAACACTATCGATTACTGCTCAATAATCTTTGTTGACTAGGACAGATTATATTAGCTTAAAGAAACAACGATGAAAGACCAAAAAGAATCACTATATAATAACTAGAGAAGATCTTCTAAATTAAGTTTACGATATAGGTTACCCATCATCTATAAATAAATCAAATGCTTAAAATATGCCATGATTCCAAAACAAGCAATGTGATAATACAGTACATCTGAATGACAAGATGGCATGTAATCAAATCAATAAAAAAGTGAGTGAACAAAGTTCAAGCAATACAAGCAATAAAGAAAGATAAACATATTTGCAAATGATTAAAAGATAACCCTATACCACAATCAATTTTTTGCAAAATAGAGATTAGAGCATAGAATAGATGTGCATACTTTACAGCTAGTTCCGAAAAATGCTTCCCAGGCTGCCTTTGCCGAAGAGTATGTAAATCTCCACCAGGGCAGAATTCCATTACCAAACATGAGAATTTATCAGTCTCAAAGTGGGTATATAATGTTGGAAGAAATGGATGATCCAAGCATTGCAGTATTTCCCTCTCAGTCTGAGCTCTAAGCAACTTCTTCCTACTCGCCAAAGATCCCTTATCCATTACCTTCATTGCAAAATAACACTTTGTTCCACCCAACTCTGACAAATATACACTACCAATATCACCACAACCCAGCTTCTTTAAAAGCCTGAAATGATTCAAACCTAGAATCCCATCTCTAGCTCGAACCATTTGAACTGCTTCCCATCTCGAGTCATTCCCTTTATGAGGTTTGCTAACGCTGCTACTCAAACTACTACAAGAGCTCTCATCGCTTATATCACTGCTTGTACTGGGTCGGCACATGCTACTCTTTCCACTATCATTGAAATCAGCCCGATCACTAATCTTAGCACTTCCGCTAGTTTTTGTCAGGCTGCTAGTGCCATCACTAAATTTGGCAGAAACTGAACTATCCTTTACGCTGCTTTGCTCAGAGTTTTTCTGTTCTTCGTCTCCATTGATGTGAGGTGATTCCACTGTATCTTCTTGTTCAGAAGACTGTTTCGTATTTTCATTTGAAGTAGGTTCTGAAGAAGTCGTAGTCTTTGAAGAAGTAATGTCAAATAAGGTAGATGAAGTGTCAGCAGATTCCTTTCGACTGTGATTTGGTTTCGGGGATTCTAATGCCTCTGTGTTAGTTTTCTTTGGTGTGATTTGATTGCTGGGATTCGATAATCCTCTTTCTGGCAGGGGCTCTGATTTGTTTAGCTTAGGAATCTGTGAAGGTGGAAGCCTGAGAGAACCTGTTTGGTTGCTGGATTTTTGCTGAGACGTGGATTTCGGGATGGACTTTGAAGCCATTGATGCAAGCAATATCTCTATTTTTGTATCAGTGTAAACCAGCCAATAGTAACCTCCATTGACTAGTACAAACTAAACACCAATTCAACTCCAAGGTGGAATCCATCAGAATTAGATCTGCACCTGTCACAAAATCATGAACTAAGCAAAGAAAACAAACCCATAGTTTTCATAAGATAACAGTATATCAATCTCTAACATTACACTGAACATTGACCTAAACAAAGTGCTCTAATTCAGAAATGAACAATTAAAGAAGAGAACGCCAAATACTACAAAATGTTTTTTTTTAATGCAATCTCATATCGGATATCAAGGTTAGAAATCTAATAAGAGAGTAACCTAATAACAAGACCAATTAACAATCTTTGGTGAAACATCACATCTCTGAAATTAAAGAAGTAAAGAAACATACATATGCGATAATATTCAATATACATTCTCTGCTAGACTCAATTCCCTCACAAGTCTATCATCAGTGTTTGCAAAGATCAAGGGTTTTCAATAACAAAGAGAGGAGGAAGAAGAAAAGTAACCACCGAATTTGTAAGAAGCAAAGCAACCCCAAAATTTATCGGAACACAGCTCACAAGGTGTTAAAAAGAAAACAACAAGAAATTTGGGGCAAAAGCAGTTGAGAGTAAATAGCCACGAACAAAGTAGACCACATACGATCACTGAATCACATCAAGATCCAAACTTTCCACAATAAAGTAAAAGGTTAACAAAAACCCACCTTAGAAAACGCACAATTCTTTTTGTAGTTAAGACCCAGATGCAAACTGATGAAGAACGAATCTCGTCCCCCTTGTGCAGAAGTTTTTTAGGAAACCCCAAAATCTTAACATTCAAAAAGATGAGAAATATGTGAAAGAGACCAGGCAACAGAACCAACTACTTCAAGATCAAATCTTTCCAAGAATAGCAATAAAAACAAAATAGCACTATAGAAAGTACTCAAATTATCATTCATGCCCACAAAGATCTCATCGACTATAGATCCAAACTTAATACAAAATGGACAATGCCCAACTGCAAAAAAGTAAAAAGAAATAACATAAAGTGAGAGGAAAAGATGCAGGCGACCCAAATAATACCTTGTTCACAAAGATCACACCTTTTCAAGCTTTAGCTTTGGATGAAGTAAATGGTCATGGCTGAAGAGGAGAGGAAAGAGGAGCAAAAGAAAAAGAAAGGAGAAGAGAAAAAGAAATAAAAAAAGGAAAGTATTAAAAAGTGCTCAAGAGTTTGGGAGTGTGTTTAGATTTGGTTCTTTCTATGTAAGTAAAAGAGAGTGAGTGAGGTGAGGTAGTCTCTTTCTTATGCAGGGTCAAAACTAAAGAGCAAAGCTCTCTATCTTTTGTTCCCCCCTCGTCCAAAATCCAAATTACTCAGGTATCAGACATTGGTCCCCCACATCTTTCATAATTTCATTGTAGTCTCTCAAATTATGGAAATTTTGATAGGTCACTCAACTTTGATGAAGTTGGATCTAAAGAGAATATCTCATTCCATTAAATCTAATGTTTTATGTTAAGAAGAAAATTTTGAAATAAACTCCTTCAAATTTTTAATTCTAAAAATCGACTGTATCCAAACTTATTTATCAAAATCGACCCACTTTCTCGTCATGTCAGTTTCGTGGCCAGAAAGTGGGTCGTTTTAAAAAAAAACTACGGTCCTAATTAGTCGGGGTTTCCAACCCCGACCATTTAGCAGAGATTGGGCCACTCCACGCAAAAATGGTCGGGGTTCCCAACCCCGACAATTAGGCAGAGACCCTCCAGCCTAAACTTTGCTGAAAAATCTCATCTCCTGCTAACACATATCAATCCACAAGTTTAACACCAACTCTCTTGGTACACATTTATCAATCTATATTTAATTTCAAACACAAATAAACACATATCTTTATATAATTATTACATCTGTAACAAATCTTTAACAAAAACGTAACATTTAATTCACTTACTAAAAATCCTGCAATAATAAAGTCACAGTAGCATTTCAAACATAAACATTGTATGAAGTATATCGAAATTTAACAAATATTTAGAACTCTCTTTCCTCTCCCACTCCCTCTGCCTCTTCTTCCTCTCCCCTTCCCCGTTCACCTTCAACATGAGCTCGAATGATCTCAACGTCTGGTTGTGAGTGGGGCCACTTGCGTGTGAGATGTTCTCGTGAACACCCAAAGACCCGCGTGAGCCTGATGCTTTGTTTCTTTTCCGCGTGAAGTCGGACGCGGCCCACCCGAATATTTCATCAGGCTATATATAGCCATTTGATTTTGCCCTAGGTGTTCGTGCAAAAGGAGGTTCGGGAATTGGTTTTTGCGGCTGGCTGCAGGGCGCTGTACAAGGAGAAAAGTACAGAAGGGTTTTGAAGAAAAATTGCAGCAGTCATTCCTTTGTTTCTTTGTGTTTGAGCAGCCCTTTATTAAGGGTTTTGTGCATCCCTTTGAGAGAGCTTTGTGAGGAATTTGAGAGTTTGTGTGAGGGTTTTATTTGTGAGATTCTTGTGTAAACCCTATTTGTATTCTCTCCCTCTATTAGTAGATCTCCCCCTTCCTTGCCCCGTGGACGTAGGCAATTTGCCGAACCACGTTAAAATTGGTTGTACTTCTTTTGTGTGATTTGTAATAGCTTTTAGGGTCCCTCGACGCGCAGTCCTAGAGCTGACGAGAGGAAGAGCTAATATCCTACTTTGATAGGATATAGGCTTCAGATTCTTGTTCCCTTTGAGAAACACGAATTCTTATTGCGACCTGACTCTCTTGTTGTGCTGCCGAAGTGCTGCCGAAATTTCCGCTGTGCGCAACGGTATTACTATTAGAAGGACTATTGGAAGGACAAATATGTTATGAGAACAATTTAAAAAAACAACAAAGTGGTTTGAGTCTAGTCTACCTACCATTCTCTTTTTCATTAAGGATGTAATTAAAGTTGTTATATGAACTATATAAATGGGAGCTATATATCAATGTAGTCATCTACTTATTTGAGACGTGTAAAGCTCATTGCCTTGTAGAAAAGTGAGAGACAGAAAAAATCACGTCAAAGGTGCAGCCTACAAATTTTGAACTCTTTGAAAAAAGGCCATACTCATGCCTTTGAACACCCACGATCTAGAATGTGAATTTTGTTGAAGTGGTTTAAAAAAAGGAGTGGAAAGGTAGCAAACATGATGTTTAGGGATGTACATGGGTGCTAACAATGTGATCCCAATCTGTTTTTATTTTAAGATATTCTTACATAGTTAATAGTGTTAAAATATAATTAGGATGCAACAAGTCCAATATCAATCGTTTCTTTTGTTAAGATGTAGTCCTTACCATATCTCTGGTTTGAGTAATAACAAACTCTCATTTGGTAGTAATATTAATTGAGATGATATAGTACAGGTAAATACAGGTATAAAAGTGTACGAGGTGAAACAACGTGAAAACAAGTTCAAAAGTAAATTTCAGCATTTCTACCGTCTATGGTAGGCATTGACCATCAATGGTAAGAAGAGCTCATTGATGGTCAAAATACATCATTGATGATTTTTTTACTTCAGAGACTTTTATATCATTGATGAGCTTCTCAACCATTGATGGGGCCTCGACACTGTCGATGGTTGAGAGCCATCATAGATGGCAAACATGTTAGCTATAGATTTTTCATATTTAATCTCAACTGTTCATTGTTTATATATTCTCTAACTTCTATCACGTTTGGGATATCTCTTTCCTGTCCTATTGGAAATTTTATATCATTGAAAGAGAGGGAAGAATTCTATGGTTTTGATTTGTGAGAGATTATGTTGAAGAGTTTTACCATTGAAGCATCGTCAAGTTCTCACTCGTCACGCACAACATCTTCATATCTTTTCAACAAGGAAATTTGCTGTTAGATTGATCTTCTTTACTGTTCCTCATCGAGCTACGCTTATATTTTTGAAGGACAGTTTGTTTAACAAAAGGACTATAAGATATTTCTTATATGCTAAGCTTTAATTATTGTTTTTGGTTTTGCTTTAAGCTTCTTTGACAATGTACTCAAATTGGAGTTACTCATTGTGGGAGTTAGGTTAGACGAATGGTTTTGTACGGATTCTAATGTGTGGTCTTGTAAGTTTACTAAATCGGGATTGTGATTCAAGTTAGCTCTTTGCATAACGAACAAGTCTCTTCTTGAAAAGGAAGAGTAGACATAGGATTGTCATCCGAACTGCTATAATATCTTGCATATTCCTTGTTGATTGTTCTTGATATTTGATTATTGTTCTTTGAAAAATTAAAGAAGAAATGAGAATAAAATTTTGTATTAATCTCCCTAACTGACTTAGGAAAAGAATGAATACAATCTCTCTTTGCAATCTCTCTCTAACTGATTTAGAAAAAGAAATTATAACTCCTATATATCGGTTTCTCGATTTACAAAAGAGAGAAGGGATCAACAGAGACCCTGCCATTTATTTAAAACTAGGTTCTTCTTGGTGTCGATGGGAGCTTGATTCTTGTATCCCGTTGACGATCCGAATGCTTCACCTTGTGAAACTTGGTCTTCGCCTCTTGACTCGACGACTTGGACGAACTTGCAAAGCAAATTTTAGAACTCTGAACGAGCTTAGAAGAACTTGACGAGCAAGTTGAAAACTCTGCAAAAGAGTTGATTTGAAAAAGAGATTTCAATCCCTTTTAGCTGAAATAAACTTTCTAGACAAGTAGAGAGGTTGAATCGGTCTTTACTGGAGAAGATCCAATGCTTATTGTCGCAGAGTGGTTTGGAGAAGATCATTTGGGCTGAGGCACTTACATATGCGAGCCACCTTATTAATAGGCTGCCTTCATCTGCGATTGAGGGGAAGACCCCTATGGAGATGTGGTCGGGAGAGACAGCACATGACTATGACCAGCTTAAGGTATTTGGTTGCCCTGCATATTATCATGTTAGAACTGATAAGTTGGAACCTCGAGCTAGGAAGGCCATATTTGTAGGATTCAAGCGTGGTGTCAAGGGATACAAGCTTTGGGATCCAGTTGATAAGAAGATTGTGCTGAGTAGGGATGTCACATTCGATGAGGCTTCTATCTTGAAGCTTCCCAGCTCTCATCAGGTGGAGAGCGACCCGACGGAGGAGATTTCGCAGGTGGTGGAGATTGATGCAGCTCCACAGAGTCCAGATAGTGCAGTATCCATGAGAGTGCCGACTGAGGTGACGCCAGGCGAGCACGACGGTGATGCGGAGGATACGGGTACTCATGAGTAGGATCAGGGACCGACGGCTCAGGTTCAGGATTCTATTGCGGTTCGGAGACAGAGGAGAAACATACAGATGCCAGCACGGTATGCCGACACAGTTGCGTATGCACTTCCGGTGGAGAGTATCGATGAGTTAGTGCCTACTACATTCAGAGAGGCTGAGCAGAGTTCGGAGGCTGATTCATGGCAGGTGACTATGCACGAGGAGATGGAATCTCTTCATAAGAACGATACATGGGATCTTGTTGAGCTTCCAAAGGGGCGGAAGGCAATTGGTTGCAAGTGGGTATACACGAAGAAGGAGGGCATTGAGGGCACTCCATTGAGGTTCAAAGCTAGGTTGGTTGCGAAGGGCTATGCACAGGAGGAAGGTATTGATTACAATGAGGTTTTCTCTCCGGTGGTGAAGCATTCGTCGATTCGGATTTTGCTAGCTTTGGTGGCACAGTATGGATTGGAGTTAGATCAGTTGGATGTGAAGACAGCATTTCTTCATGGTGATCTTGATGAAGAAATATATATGACTCAGCCATTGGGATTCCGAGCTGCAGGGAAAGATAAGTTGGTTTGCAAACTGAAGAAATCGCTATACGGTTTGAAGCAGTCTCCTCGACAGTGGTATAGGCGATTTGATGGTTTTATGCTTGGTCATTCGTACACTCGGAGCCAGTTTGATCCTTACGTATATTTTCACAAGTTAAAAGGAGGTGCGTACATTTATTTGTTGCTCTATGTCGATGACATGTTGGTTGCCTCTATTTCCAGGTCGGCTATAGATGAGTTGAAAGTTCAGCTATCAAATGAGTTTGAGATGAAAGACT